ATACATTCTCCAAAGTCATAGAGACAGTAGGTGGCAGGGTAAAAGATTGAACCCAATATTCTCTGACTTTAGAGGGGAAAATGCTGCATTTGGATTATTTCTGGGAGGAAAAAATAATCACAAGTATACAGTAAATATTCAGAGGGAACTGTTCTGTAAGAATGGAAGCCTTCATTCTACATCTTGCTTCTGAGTGGGCTCCCAACTGTCAGTCAGCTCTGGAYCTGGGAGGCAGGCCGGTGGTGACCCAGCTGAGAGCCCAGTTGTGCTGATTCAGGGCAGAGGAGTCTGGGCCCTATTCTTAGCAAGCGGCCAGCTTCTGACCCTCTCTGTTTTCTTCTCCCCTTTACAAGGAACTTCAACTGCAGAGAGTTTACAGCAGGAGCCTTTTCAGTGCTGAGTCTGCTTCTCTCTTATCTAGGTCTGCAAGGTCCTCTGTTGACACCCTGGGAGAACACAGGTATGGATCCCTGCTCCTTTAAAGATACCATTTCCTTTTCTGGCTTTGGTTCTTTCATCTACCACTCACAGCCCTTCTCCCAGGCTGGCAGCTTGCAGTGATTTGTTTTGAGTTCTTCAGGAGATGGCAAGATTGCTTAACTCTTCTGTACTTACCCTATAAATCCCTACTCCAAAATAACTCACACTTGGTCCTACTATTTCTACCTCCTAGACTGAAAATAAGGTAGGGGTGTGATTGCATTTGTGTGTGTGTGTGTGTGTGTGTGTGTGTGTGTGTAATAAAGACTTTGAGGGCTCTGTGAATCCTGTTAGCACTGTTAGGTCTCCTTAGAAAGTAAGTCCCTCTCTCCACACTTACTTCATTTTAACCCATCCCTCTCAGGTGCTGAAATTCTCCAGATCTGGCTGCATCCACCCTCTGTCCTGTTCACTGTTTTAGTTTCAGGGTCTAGGACAAGACCTGGCACAGATTGCCCTGCACCCTTACCTGCTGGACAAAAATGTTAAGCTTCCCTCCCAGAGCAGCATCCCCAACCTTTCCCTGGAGACCTCTTATTTATTATCCTGACTAGGTCATCCAGGACTTCCTCTGGGAAGTCTTCTTTGCATTCTTCAGGTCTTCTAAGTTTTTCCTCATAGATCACCCCTTTTGGCAGCGGTTTCCCCTCCCCCCTTATTCCCAGTTTCACTTCCTGTTGTTTCAATCACCCATGGTCAACTGCTATCTGAAAGTACCAAATGGAAAATTCCAGAAATAAGCAATTCATAAATTTGAAATTGCAAGCTACTGTAAATAGCATTTAATCTCACACTGTCCCTCCAGGGATGTGAATCATGTCTTTGTCCAGTATATCAAAGCCATATAGCCGGGCGTGGTGGCACATGCCTGTAATCACAGCAGCTTGAGAGACTGAGGCAGGAGGATTGCAAGTTCAAAGCCCAAAGCCAGCCTTAGAAACTTAGTGAGGCCCTGAGTAACTCAGGAAGCCCAAAGGAGGCCCTGGAGCATAAAACAGTGGAAGGACAGATTAACCCTCCTACTGTGTGACAGTGCTGCAGGGCATATAAGAAAAAAAMCAGTATATGTAGCCATCATTACTATCTATAGTTTTAGGCATCCACTGAAGTCTTGGAATGTATCCCCCTGCAGATAAGGGGGGACTACTGTACCGGAGCATGTTGCATGCAGTGTTATAGGTGTTCCTGGCTAGATTATGAACTCCCAGGGAGCAGAGATTGCATCTTTGCGTCCCTGTGCTTATCACAGACCTGGACACATCATCTGGGCTACATAAATTCTGTAATTACTTTGAAATGTAGGCAAGCCCTTCATGAGACTGCGATCCTGTCGTGAGAGAAGCCTTGCTGGAGTTATCCAGGTAAGGGAGGCAAACAGGAGTTTAGGATGCTCCAAGGATGGGCCAGAGACAGGCCCGAGGAGGGCACTGCATTTCCTAAATAGCTGACTTCCCCGCCTTTAATAGTAAAATACCCTGGCCTTGGAGCAAGAAAGGCAGAGAAGCTTATCAAAAAGATTACTCTTCATGGGGACAGATTAACTGTAACTATCATGGGTACATCATTAGCTCTCAACCAGTGTCAACAAATCTTAATGTTTTTCAATTGTATTCTTGCAGTACCAGGCTGAGGTGACAGGCACCGCCTGGGGCTGACAGCCTTCTCATGCAGCAAAGAGAGAGGAGGGGTGCTCATTCCTACTGGGCATCCAATTCTTGGAAGATGGCACAGCCCTGTGGGTTCTTCTCCCTAGAAGACACGGAGGATTCCACACACTGGGATTCTTGAATGCAAACCCCAACCTATGTGTGGCTTTTGGGGTGATGTGATTAGCAGGGAGCAGGACTACTTTTACTTCAAGAGCTGGATTTTCTCAGGCACACCATGTTCTGCAACAGTATACTATACCGTTTCTTCCTTTACCTTTTAATTCAATTGAACCAGCATTTATTGATTCCTGCAGAGGCAAGAAACTGTGAGATCCTGTCGAAATTTAAAGATGAAAAGGGCTGACCCAAAGGAAAAATGAACATTTCCGAAGAGGAAAGGGCCATGCCATGTGGTAGGGTCCAGAGGTGAGTACAACCTCAGTCCTCCAAGAACTTGTTCTCCAGAGCAAAACACTCTCCCTGAGTAAGTTTGACACAAAGTGGGGCAGTCTCACCTTCCTGTCCTTATTACCACTCACCAGCTCAAAAAATCCCTGAGGGTTAAAAGAATAACAGGTGGAGTCTGGCCTTGCTCCAGGGCATGATGCTGGAGCCTGTCCCCATCTTTCCAGACACCATGTGGCCCTACCCAGATGGAGATCCTGAGTCTCACAATTCCAGAGCAGAGGTGGCCCCCTGCAACCTTCATGGAGAAGAGCAGAGGGCTCCAACTCCTTTCATCCAGGCTCTGATGGGGAGGGGTGCTTTGAGCTGTCTAGGTGGAGAGTATTGAGCTGGTATGAATGGAGGTGGCTGGGAGGGGACTTGGACAGATGGAGTGGACTGGCCAGAATGGAAGAGGCTGGGGAACACCAGCTCCTGGGTTTCGGTCCTTGGCGCCTCGCCCGGCCCAATGCGGGTTGGCTGCGGGCAAAGGGGTGGCGCCCCCACCCTGAGCCCAGCCACCCACCTGGGCACGCCCTGGCGTAGTCGAAGCAGCAGTCCCCCGTGAGGCGGCAAGCTTGGTCGCAGAAGCAGGTCCCATAGACCCTGTCCAGCCTCCAGCCGCGGGCGAAGCAGGCGGGGTCCCGACCAGGGCAACAGCGCCCCGCCTCGGCGCAGCCAGCYAGGGCCCCGGGCCACAGATGCGCCAGCGCGCACAGCGCCATCCACAGGGTCCTCATGGCCAGCGATCCGGTGGCGCCTGCKATGTGTCGGACCCTCAGGGCAAATGCTCTCTGCTCCAGGGAGAGCTGCGGCCCCTGAGCTGCCCCAGCGGCCCGCGAGGCACAGCCGGGCCCTGCCCCGCGCCCGGCCTCCGCCCTCCACCCTTCCKCGCGGCCCCTCCCCAGCCCTGGCGGCGCGCCCATCGGGCTCTGGGCGGGTGRCTGCGGCCGCCCCTGCGCAGGTGGGGAGGGCGTCGCTGCCTTCCCSGGATGCGCCCCGCAGTCAGGGACAACACTCGCTTCATACTGCCACCCCGTCCGGGGACCGCCCGCAGTGGGGAGCAGGGGTGGGGCGGGGGGACAGGTGCCCCGGGGGCCAGGAGCAGGGAGGAGGGCCATCCCGGAGCCCGGCCAGGAGGCCACTTTTCCTGCCTCCAAACTCTGCTTGCTTACGTCTAGGGACACTTTAGCATTAGGGTATTTTCCCTCTAAAGCAAGGAGACAAATAGCTCTTGATGTGCATTAAACCAGGCATCATCAGCACCCTGCGTTCTAGCCCTGACCTCGCCCAGAAAAGCCTGTAGTGGTATTTTTTTCCAAGTATCAGTTCGCCGACCCTCTGAGCCCCCACACCACTTTGCTTCACTTAAGAGGCAGTTAATGAGTGTGAAGGAAAGGATAGATAAAATGTAAACAGTGCTCTGCTTTCTGTGAAAGCAGATTTYCCCCCAAAGAAACCCTGTTGTATATTTTAGAAATAACTTGCACTTGAATAAAATGCTTGCCTAATTTTTAAATATGCAAGTATATCATGAATTCTGCACTTTACTCTTTTTGTTCACCAAAATTTATCCTAGAAGTCACATTTTCTTTTATGTTCTTAAATCATTTGACTTAATACGAGCTTTTTTGAAAGACGTTTTCTGCATCTGTCAACCTAGGAAATCAAATTCAGAAGAATCCAGAGACTAGTTTTATTCCTTTTCCATACAGGGACCTCTCATAGGGAATTTACTCATCAGAGAGAAAAGTAACGAAAGGAAAAATGAAAAACATACATGTGTGTGTGTATACATATGTATGTGTGTGTGTGTGTGTGTGTGTGTGTGTGTGTATGTGTGTGAAATGGAAAAGTTTACTACATTGTAAGACTTGTATAGTTTTTTATTATTTGTATTTATTTTTTGTCCACAATGCCAGCCTGGCATGGAACTTTTTTTTGATCCTCCTTCCTCAGCCTCCTGGGATTACAAGGATTTGTATTTTATAAACTCTAATCACATTTAAAGTTTGACCAATGTAGAATGTAATCTTATTTTATTGTCCAAGGAAAACATACTTTAAAGTCAAAAAGAGATTCTTTCTTTGTGAGTTTATACAAATAAATTCTCAGCATTGGAAACTTTTTTATTTCCGCTTTGAGTAGGCTTCTTTCCCTTTTGCAGTTTAAAGAAATAATTTCTTCTTCCTCCTCCTCCTCCTCTTCCTCCTCCTCCTCTTCTTTTTTGTGTTTTTAATTCTTGGTAGCCAGAACTAAACTACCTTGTCAGCAAATTATACCCTTTGCCTTTTACCCATGCAGTAGGTTTTATTAGCAGTGTTGTACGAACTCACTCATGTAATTTATCCCCCACGCCTTCTCTGGGCTGTCTGCTTTCTGGAATGCCTTTAGGCAGATACTTAATCTGTAATATCTTAAGAATCTGGAATTGTTCCAGAAAGATGTAAAGGAAAATGATCTGCTGACAAGTTCATTTTCAGGAATTAAAATCTGCACTGAAGAGATAACAGGAAAGAATGATGAGGTCTAGGTTAAGAGAATTAAACATATAATACCAAATGCCTGATCAAGTACCATCTTTTTTTTTTTTTTTTTTACCTCTGTTCCTTTCATCCTCCGACAAAACCAAAACCAAAAATTGAAAATAAAATTTTGGGCTTTGAGGGGCTGGGGTTGTGGTTCAGTAGTAGAGCGAGCGCTCTCCTCGCACGTTCAAGACCCTGGGTTGGATCCTCAGCACCACATAAAAATAAATAAGTGAAATAAAGGTATTGTGTCCAACTACAACTAAAAAAAAATAAATTTTTAAAAAATATTTATTTTTTAGGTGTAGATGGACACAACACAATGCCTTTATTTTTATTTTTATGCGGTGCTGAGGATCAAACCCGGGTCTCACCTGCGCTAGGCAAGCGCTCTACCACTGAGSCMMMATCCCCAGCCCTCAAACATAGATTTTAATTGATTGCTGTGAGATGCCTATAGAAATTGGGTGACAAGTGTAAATTAAGCACAGAGTAGTTGCTAAATATCAATTAGTGTTCTAATATTCACCCAACTCCATAATTTGAGCCTGATGTCTTGTAAAAGACAGATGTAGTTTTTTTTTTTTGGGGGGGGGGCGGTGCCAGGGATTGAACACATCCCGAGCCCTATTTTGTATTTTATTTAGAGACAGGGTCTCACTGAGTTGCTTAGGGCCTCAATCAGTTGCTGAGACAGGCTTTGAACTCTCGATCCTCCTGCCTCAGCCTCCTGAGCCACTGGGATTACAGGTGTGTGCCACTGTGCCCAGCTAGATGCAATTTTAATGGTGTGTAACACCAGGGAAAGCACAAAGCTAAAGAAGGAGAAGGAAAAGGAGAAGGAGAAGGAGACAAATGGATGGTTATTACTTTAAAACAAACATAAAAGGGAAGTAACATTGAAACAAACTCAAACTCTCAAGCTAAATCTTGTGCTGTCTTGAAAACATCAAGATAAGCCTCCACTGGCAGGCCCTAGCAAACACCGCAGTTCCTGCAGGACCGGGCAGAGTCAAAGGACACTGGCATTTAAAGTGAAGGGGTTCATATCCTTACTTTGAAACTGGATGTAGTCAAATGTAACAATGAGTTGCTTTGTTTTCCATGCTGTGTAGATGTTTGGAGAACAGAAATCATCCCATCAATCATGTGGATGAACATAGGAAGTAATCAGATGCACCTTAAAAGAAATCCTTTCTTCTGAAGTGTTGTATTTGGAAGCTGTCCAAAACCGGTAGAACTATAGAGGGAAATGGAGACCTACCTGGGCATCACATTCCAGAACACAGTAATTTTAAAGGACCTCCACCTACATGATCTCACTCCTTCCTGCATAACTGTGAGGAAAATATTAGCACCCCTGTTTTGTAGATGACAGACAGATTAGACATGTTGCTAATTAGTGACAAAATGGGTCTAGAACTGAAATTATTCTTTCCAAACACAAAGAGGTTCTTCCCATAAATGAAAGCTTGTAGGAGGGGGTAGTGGAGGAAGATGGCAGTGAAAAGTAAAATTAGGCACTGTGCTTAATACTGTAAATAAGTAGATGTGGAAATCAAGAGGCAAATAATTTCACGAAAAGTTTGGATACATTTAAGATGTAAGTTTTACCTTCTTGTCCATTTAAGATGGATAGGGCACTATTCAAGTCTTCCTCGATACGGTGAAGGCTGTAGGGAATCTCTTGAGGTTGACAAATGGGACAATTGGGGCTCAAGCACAGCCCTCATGTCAGAGCTGGCACTGGTCACTTGGTTGCAGTCATTCTCTCCTGAGGTCGAGATATTGCTCTAGGCTGAGGGTCAAAGATGGCTAAAGCTGGTCCGCCCCTCAGGAGACTAACATCTAATGGAGGAACTAGACTGTCAACAGACACTGCGACATATTGTAAGGAGTGTTCTTATTAAAGGAAAAGGGAAGGATGTCTGGAGCCAGGCAAACAAGGAAGATTTTTTTTAATTGGGGTTATAAAAGTCGGTATTGAGGTACCCATTAGCCCTGTTAGTCCTCTTACGGTCTCCTTGGAAAATGTAGAGTCAGTTACTGGGACAATTTCCAGTAACTTTTGTGAGGGTCCTGCTTTGATAGACTGGCATCTAGTCATTTAGTAATGCCCAAATGTGCAGACAAGGATCCAAAGATGCTTGCTTAAAGTTGGCATACACAGTTCTTCCTGTACCACCTTATAACAAGCAACCAGGGACATTGCTGCCAAGGTTTATGCTGCCAGTTCTACATCTTTGATTCTATCAATTAAATAAATGCAGAGTGGATACAGAAGTGGTAAAGTAAACTCCTTGTTTGCCTATAAAAGGTCCACTAGTTCCTTTTTTATTTTGTACTTGGCATTGAATTTAGGGGAACTGTACCACTGAGCTATATGTCTCCAGCCTTTTCAATTTCATTCTGAAACAGAGTCTTGCTACATTGCTGGGCTGATCTACAATTTGTGATCCTATTGCCTTAGTTCCCCCCAGGTAGCTGGGATTATAGGCATGCTTCCCTTCTTCTTTGTCTAATGGCCCTCAGATTTTCCTTTCTGAAGGAACAATATTTACCCTTCCTTATTAGACAGCACCCCACGCTCCACTAATAGGCTTTGAGTTAATTTTATCCTCAGTCTGTGGACCGTTCAGAGACCAATCCAATCAGAAACTCCAGGCATTGGAATGTTTGTCCAGTAGGTGATTTGGTTTCACCTTTGCTCTTACCAGAGGCAAATGATGATATGGCCCAGGTGAAACCCGCCTGAGATCATAGCACCAAACCAGGGAAGATAGATCAGGGAATCATAGGACTTTGATGGAAATGATACTTGAAGTCACACTTACCCCTTCTCAATCCTCTACCCCAATAAACTGTAAGTTTCAGTTGCCATTTCTGTGGCTTAAAACAAAGGACTTGATAGAGGTAAGAAGGAAACAGAAAAGAGTGGGGTTTTAACAAGAACAGTAAATTTAAACTATGGCGCTGTCACTTACTAGCTATGTAAACCAAAATAAAGTATTGTAAATCCTTTAGGCCTCAGTTTTCCGATCTGCAAAATGAAATAAGGAGGCTGAGGTATATAATTAATGCAATGTCTCGTATAATTCCCAATACACAAGAATGAGCTGGTAATTAATGGTAATGACTCTATTGGTGCCCTGACTTTAACACAAAAGGCATGCTTTAATTGTGAGTAGTAATTTTTTCATAAACTATTGTGTCAGGCTATATGATGT